GGCAGGCGCGGGCCGCGTGTACACGCACTCGAGGACTACGAGCTCTCCCTTTCGCTCCTCTCGGCGCGTAACTCGATGCAACTATCGTGGCACCCGGCGCGGAACTAAAACCCCACGAAAACACGGTACCGCGCCGCCAGAGCCCCCACTACTTCCCTGGCGGCCGCGGCGGTCGCAACACTCCCCACCAGGGACCAGCGCTCGGCGAAGCTCGGCCAGCCTCGGCCCTGAGAACGCCTACGCGCCCACGGTACAGGCCACAACCTCAAGGCGGGCGTTACTTGGTTGCGCATCCCTCCCCCCTTTACCGCCACTACTTGCCGCTCGGCGGCCAGTGGCAGCACTCCCCCTCCCCGCCGTGGCTATAGCCGGCGCCACCAACGCCACCGCCCCCACCATCTTCGGAGACTCGGGACGCGCCCCGGTCGCAGACTCGTGACTGTCTGGGGATATGTTTATCGGCCCCCTCTATGTTGACTGCTGATCATCCGTGCACCTCACTTTCGTTTCACTCGGCCAGCCGTATGTTAACCCTTATTAATACATCTTATTTGAATCCGATGCTCGACCAGCTTTATTCCTCGACACGGCCGATGTATTTGCAAGATAAGTGCACTCGCCCGAGCCAGAATACGACCCCGTTCAATCGTAGATCCACTTCCCCTCCCTAACACACTTTTTATTTATCCTACACATTGCTGAACGACTCTCGTAATAATCACTTTGTGGATCAAGAACTGCAAAAATCACGAGCTGCCTAAATTTCACTTCACTTTGGGCATTTTATATAACCGACAAGTAAGTCTATAGACTATTTTTATTTACGTAACGCACACCGCACAGCATTAAATGAAAACTATTTTTCAAGATTTATAGTTCTAGAACAAATATATTTCCTTAATTTGATGTTCAATATAGACGTATTGACGGCCCTATGCTGGTAAAAAATACATAATTTCAAATTATGTATTGATCTAAGGTATAAAACTAAAGGATTCTTTATAATAAATAAGAAAAAAAATTTTAACTAGTCTTTTAAGTATTTAAAATAAAAATATAGCTATATTTTATCTCTCAATCTTGAATTTTAGGTGAATATTAATTCAGTAATTGTAGATCTCTCATGAATTAATTAATTAATCTTAGGTACAACAAAATTTTAACATAATTTAAAAAAATAATAATAATTGTAAAAAATAATAATAATTGTAAAAAATAATAATAATTGTAAAAAATAATAATAATAATAGCTTTGATAAATGTTCATTATATCTCACAAAGTAACTGTAATACTCATATACAATACTTAGTGACAAATATAAATAAATGAAATGTAAATAAAGATTATCAATGTTATCTTATTCAAACGTTATTTAATCATTGTATTTAAATACTCAGGAATTGTGGATAAAACTATTGTAGAGTATTTATTTTAAATGAAGAATTTAATTTATATCTAATTGTGTTATGTTGTAATCTAAAATGAATAATTAATTGATTATATGCATATTTCATAATCCTTTACATTAAAAGTAGATAAACTATTCCACTGAAAAGAACATAAAAGAAAATTAACCTGTAATTATTATACAAACTATTGTCTTATACATTAATTTTTTGCTTATACTGATTTAAAAAGAACAGAAATTATTTTTGGATATTGTTGTTCTATAATTATTGCATTAATTTAATGTTAAATAATATTAGATAAATAATAGCAAGAAATCTAATACATATATAAAATTAAGAAAGAATTATATTACATTTATATTTTTCTAAATAAGATTCTTTCGATGTAATTAATAATAAAAAATTAAAAAATATATATATTGTGGTGTTACACAGATCAGATCAAAATTTAATCATTTAATATTATGAAGTTTCTAAAAATATTTTTTATGAAATTAATAACAAATGTGTCAATCATGGTAACAAATATATGAACAATTAAATGTTTCTAAATTAAATAAATTGAAAATTAAAGTAGGTAATTTTGAAATTATTATTTTCATACACATATTAATATAATTTATATCGATACAAATAATTCCTTTTTCTGATTTTACATGATATTTTTTTCTTACATATGAATAAAATTAAATAAATATTCTTCTATATGTATACTAATACTACCAAATTATAAAATAACTCTATATAGACAATAAGAACAAAAATTATTCATCACAAACACGTGCAATGTAAATAAAATACAGAGTTTTACATCTATCACAATTACGTTTATGTAGAATTACAAACTTAATAATAAAAATATATCACTTACAGTATATGTATACATTATTACCTATTTATTTGAAGATTCTAACTCATAAGTTCTAAATTGTTTGCAAAATATGGCCAATGTAGATATAATGTAACATTCGTTCGAGTTTTCGCAGCTTTCTCTCTCTCTCTCTCTCTCTCTCTCTCTCTCTCTCTCTCTCTCTATATATATATATATATATATATATATATATATATATATATTTGTGAATTTGTGTATATTTCAAAGTATCAAATTTAATATGACAGTGTACATTGTGTAATTCTATCACTCTCTCCCTCTCTTTATCCCACACTCTCTTTCTGTCTATCACCTAGTCCAATATTTTCTATTTTTCAGAATAAGCATGCAATATTTCACTTTATCACGAAACGTATCAATCATAATATAGACCTTCGTTGCAAACTAACAAATGTATATTTATATGATTATCCTAATAAATAATATATTAACATTGATACACTTTTCTGATAAATTTTTGGTAAACTTTTCGTTTTATAGCTGTATTAAATTTATATCTATTTACCCTAATAATTTTAAATGTTTATTTTGTTTTATATTTTCTTGTTAATAATTAACATGACAAGAGAAATTCGCTTATAAATATTATATTTTTCTATATGTTAAGAATTTAAATATAATTTTTATTTAAAGTAAAATTCGCATTCAATTAATTGATTTTCTATATCATTTGCATATTAATAAAAGATTAGAGAAGCAGGTATAAAAAATTTTATGTAAAATATTTGGCTACAATAGTTTCGTCGTAACGAAATATTGAAATTATAAGAAAATATTATACATTACAAATTTAAATATTTTACATTATATATCTGTGAGTATCAAGGGTATAATTAAAAATGCAATTTTATAATAAATATGTTATTTAAATAGTAATAATAATATAAGTTCTCAAAAGTTTTGTTTATCATTAATAGGTTACGAAACATTATTTTTAACGTAGACACACTGTTATCTAACATGCTGATGTAGAGAAAAAGCTCCTGTAACTTTTAGTTTTAGCAAAGAATTAAAAATTCCTAACTGTAAATTATCCTCTTATTAATTAAACATAGAAATCGATTACTTTGGTCAGAAGTGAGAAACATGGAGGCTAAAATGACTCTTCCCAACTGTTAATAAATGTGTAAAGAAATAAAAACGAAATGTAAACTACATCTTTTCCACAATGATCAGATCTGGAGGATTATTCGACCGTAATCGTACCCATGTTGATTGCCATCCACCAAAGAAGAAGCCATTGACAAAAAATAATTTCAAACAAGTAGGCGAGGCGCTAAAAAGGGATAAAGTCATCGGAGTCGCGGTCTCATTTTTCCGTACAACGCCCCTTCGCCTAGAAGCTGCACACACATAGATGAAACATCAGCGTATATATTTACATATACATATCCCTCTGCCTCACGCGTCCGAATTTAGATCGCATCGGGAGAAAATGGGAGCCACGTGCCTCCACCTCCTCCTCCACGTCGTGCGAAGATTATGCCCGAGATATATTCTTATTATGCTTGCGTGTGCGTGTATAGGTATTATAATACACAACGTAAGCGAGCGAAATCTTGATAGGATACGCAGTCTTATCTGGATGAGATACGTCGATTAAGATACGTTCCTATCTTTCTTTCCAAAGGCAGTCATCTGAAATGTGAGAGTTGAAGAGACATAGCGGCGGCAGCTACAATATCAAGTGAAAATTATTTTTGTTCTAGGTTGGGATTGTGTTAGCTTGTCTTTACAATACAATTTTCAGACTAAAATGAGAACTATCTTCTTAATCAGCTTCATTATATCTTCTCCCTATTACTACCCTCCTCTGTTTTCTCGGTCTACCTACCACCGACTCTTCAATTATCGTTTTATAAGTATGACGGAAGATTCAAGGAAGCGACAATTTTCGTAGTTTTGCCGATGCTAGTCAAAAACCTTTGTTTTGATTTGAGGCGACAGGCTACCTATGCGCGTGTGTGCTTGTGTACCCGTTTCGTTGCTTTACTCAATTATTTTGATTTACATTGCTTTATATACGATGAGTGCACTATGTTTATGAGCATCACTTTATAAAAGCAAGAAAAAATCTGTAATAAAGTTTGAATTACCGTACGTAAGGCAATAATATTGACTGAAACATTCAAAATCGATAGCGAATAATCAATTTCATAAGCGATTATATTGTTATTAAAGCATTGTTATTAGAAACGACAGTTTCAACGAAAAAAAACAGCAATGACTTTATAACAGAAGGAGATCCAACATTTTGTACAATTTTATTGAAAATCTTATTTTATTGAAAAAGCATTCTTTTATAATTAAATTTTTTTTTTTTGTATTTAATGTAAAAAAATTACATAAAATTAGCTAAAACTAAAATTTCAAGTGTAATATATTGAAAAAGTTAATTACGTCAATATGTAAAATCAATATTTATAAATAATTATTATTTAATTTCAGTCTAATATATTTTGATGTGCCTTTAAAATTCTGAAATTATTAATACAAACATAATATACAATTAAACAGGTTGGCTGATATAGAGCCTAGCTAAAGTAAATTTAATCCCTTCGTAAATACGTGTACAAGTTTTACGATTAACAGTGAAAATGTAGTAAAAACAGTAAGAAAAAGAAAAATATTTTCTGTAACGACAGATGAAGCTTTAAAATGTAATTCCAT